TTCAGGGCAGGTTAGAGGTGGGAGGACCGGGGGGGGGGGGGGGGCAAGGCAAGCCTTTCCCGTGCAGCTGGGGAAACTGAGGCTCGGGCTGCACCAGGATTCTAGTGGCTGCACTGGGTACTCCATAACCCAGCCTCCATTCCACAGGCTTCTGCTACCGGGGAGGGGAGAGAAGAAAAGTGGGACCCTGGTCCAGCCCCTCTATGGCGGGGTGACATGAGCAAACTTTCCCTTCTCTTGTCAGAGCCGGGGGAGGTCCCTGACCCTGGACCTCGGGCCTGACATGGGCTCAGTGCTGATGAGCAACCACCTGGAGTTTGAGGTCCTGGAAGTCTCAGCGCTGCCACCTGCTGGCTTCAGGGTTGCTTGCAGGTTTCTGTCCTGGCCTGTTTCTCCTCTGGAGGTGGGGGAGATGCTTTTGAAGATGCTCGGTGGTCATTTGGAGATGTTCATGGGCCTTGACACTGAACCCCACCAGGAGAAAGTCGGTCCCCTTCCTCTGAGTCCTCCGGTGCTCTCTGCCCCCCCCCCCAGCGCCGCCCTCTTGTGTGCTCCAAGGGGGGTGCAGGCCTCCAGCTCAGGGCCTTCGGGAAACAGCTGGCTTCTAACGCAAGCTGAGAAGCAATTTTGTTTTCCATTTTATTCTTTTGTGAAGCTACTTGATGGAGCTATAATTGACATACCATAAAATTCACCCAATTAAAACGTACATTCCGGAGGGTTTTAATAGAGGCACAGGATGGAGCAGCCTTTGCCTCAATCTAGTTTTAGAACATGCCATCATCCCAGAAAGAAACCCTGCTCCCATCAGCAGCCACACCCAGTGCCATTTCCCCGGACCCCGGGGACCACCCGGCTTTTCGGGGGTTTGCCGACCTGTGGCCGGCCTTCCGGGCCTGGCGGAGCGCCGTGTTTGTGTGGTTACCTTACCCAGGAACCCCGGCTTTTCATTGCTGTCTGGAATGCAATGTTTTCTTCTAAAGCGAATTTCTTTCAACCTATTGACTGCCTTCTGCTTCAGTGAGGGGTTCAATGCTCAAGTTAGCCGTTACCCCCAAAGGCGAGGCGCACGGGGCATTTGGAAACTCGGGGGCAGTTCTGCCCCAGGGTCTGGGAGTCCCTTTGTGGCTGGTTCTCTGATTTGGGGAACTTTCTCCCTCTCTCCTCTCCCCAAAGCCATCAAACCTCTTCCTCCTTCCTCCCTGGCGATCTCAAAACCCCCTTTTCAGGGGGAAAGACGGGGCCGGGGCAAAGTCTTTGCAAACAGCCAGTCCCTCTATTCCACAAACTCAGAGGGCCAGCTGCGGTCCCAGCTTTCCCCAGCCATTTTGTCCGGAAGCAGCATTGACAACAAGTTTAATTATGCAATTAAAGTCATTTTCCTGAGCTGAACAAATATTTACAGCATATTTTGCTGCAAATTGCTTCGCCTAGAGAAAGGTTCTGCCGCTGGGGCTGGCGCGCCTGGCTGATGCATACATTTACACCCCCCTCGCCGGGGGCTGGGCTGTGCAGGCAGGTGGCAGACAAGCGAGCCCCCGGGAGCTCACATCAGGGAAAAACCAGGCAGGTGTCAGCCAGGCCGCCATGTTCTTGTTCCTGCCGCCGGCCACCGAGGACCAATGGCGCCCGTTGCTCCTCTGCATGGCCCCAAAGCCCAGCTCCGAGCATCAGAGAAACCTCTGGACTCGGCCCCCCCTGCCTGTAGGGGAGCAGCTCTGTGACCCTCAGATCCCCGTCCGTCCTGGGCCTGCTGTCTTCCTGAGATCTGGCAGCGTCCCGCCCCATCCCAGGAGCTGGTCCTTAGCAAGAGCGCAGGCGGGCCTCTGCCCAGGCCCCTCGGGGCTCAGCTTCCTGCGCTAGCCAGACAGGAAACTCAGGCAGAACTTGAGACCGCAGAAAAGGCCCAGCCTTTGTTCCCCTCTGAACAGCGTCTCCATCCCGAGCCCCACTTCACCCATGGAGGGACCTCTACCCATTTCCTAGGGGTGAGGTGGTAGCCGCGGGCTTTCTCAGCTCAAGGGCATCCCCCCAGCACCCAGCACCTCCGTTTGCAGCAAAGTTCAGTGTGGGATGGGGCAGGGGGCGGTGGCTGTGTGACATCAAGGCATTGGGGAGGGGTGGACAGGAGTGACATTCAAAATATGTACCCACCGATGGGGCGGTGACCACTCGGAGACGGCGCAGAGCCATCCCGGAGCCCCTCGGCCGTGTGGGAAGGTCTGGGGGTCCCGGAAAGGACCTGGGATGGGTTTTGGATGAGCTGGGGTGTCAGGAGGCTGGGGCAGCGGGTCTCCAGCAGGGTGGTGGGGTGATTGCAGCTGTCCCCTCCAGCCCCCGTCCCCCACCATCACCCCCCACCCCATACACACACACACACACACTGAATGTTGGACCCTGATGTTGCACCATCACAGCTTCACCCGGAAAAAAGTAACAGCATTGCTGTCCTCGAGGCCCCACTGTGTCCGGGCCACACATGCGCCATCTCCCTGGACCTTCCCTCACACACAGTTATTACACCATCTCACAGCCAGGGAAGCTGAGGCACAGCCTGTGCGGTCACCTGGGCACCCACCGCTGCCGGAGGGGTGACCGGTGTCTGGGCTGGCTGGGCTCCTCCCCTCATCTGTGGGCCCGGCAGGGACATTGCTGCCCTGGCCCAGGTGAGTCACCCGGGCGACCCTGCCGGCCAGAGGCAGAGCTGGACTATGTCCAAGGTCACCAGTGTTTACTGCCCCCCGAGGAGGGAGGGGCCGGAGGGAGGAGGCAGGCAGCCAGCCCTTTCCCTCAGATGCCCTCACCTGGGGCCCTGTTGATGCAATTGATGACAGCGGCGACAAAGCAGCGGACACCGCTCTGGCTCTGGGCCTCTGGCAGGGGCAGGCCGGGAGCCTCCATGCCCGTGCCCTCTGATCTCAGAGCTCCAGAAGGAACGTGGGTGTGGCCCCCAGACTGGGGTTCTGGGTTAGGATGGGCCCGAGGAGCGAGAGGGAGGAGGGAAAGGCCCCACCACCCACCCCCACCAGCCAGGATCCCCGATGCTCCAGTGAGCACAGGGCAGGCTTGTTGTCCTAGTCCAATATTTGCCTCGTACCCACTGTGCTCTGGCCTTTAACCCAGACCCCAGCGCGGCTCCGGGAACCGTGGGGTTCAGGGGCAGCTCCTACGTGGCTGCCCATGGAAGACGTCAGCCCCTTGTTGGTTCGCGGTCACGTGGGAGGGCTGACCAGGAATCAGGACGCCGGTTTCCATTCTCCCAGCCAAGGGCCACTCACCCTGCCAGGACCTCGCACGGCCTCCTGCACGCCGGCACCACAGGCCGCGCTGTCGTGTCCTGGCAGCTCACACAGAGACCAGGGCTTGGAGCTAGACGGGGCAGACAAGGGAGCACGGATCTGGGAAACTGAGTCAGGGGCCAGTCAGTGGTAAGTGTTGGGTCCTTTCGGTCCTTTGAAAACTCTTTTCTGTCGAAAGCACCTCCTCTAGGCTGTCCTCCAGGCTGTGGTCACACAAAAGCCTGCTGGGTGAGTGGGTGATGCTGGGTGGGAGCTAAGGAAGCCCAAGGTGGCCAGCTTTGCCTGCAAAGGGACAAAACCTGCTGAGGGCCCGGGGCGTGTATTTCAACAAGGGTGCCCACACTCTGTCCTGGGAGCCCCTCTCAGGAGTCCAAGGAGCTATGGCCCAGTCCCCTCTCTCCCCTGTCGCCAGGTGGGCCGCCTGGGGTTTTGTTTCCTTGGACATTTGGTTTCTGAGTGAGAGCACATGTGAAAACAGGCTTGCAGAGACAAGAAGAATCCGTTGGAAAGCCACTGGCTTGAATTGGTACCTTTTCATTCTATTCAGTGTGTGGCCCCCGCACCCCGCAGTGGTCTTGGTATTAGAACTGACACTGCCAGGAGAGCTGGGTCTGCTCTCAGCTCCTTTAGGGAAAGAAAACTCTGCTGGCTGTTTCCCAGCCCCAGGGGGCACTCCTGGCCTCAGCTTCCCATCTACAAATCGGGGCGATCTCGGCTGCACTGTCCGCTGGAGCCGCTGCAGGGAGCAAGGCGGATTGGGGGACTGAGTAAGTGTGTGAAGGGAAAGCATGGTGTGATTAACCAGGCAGAACAGAGCCGCCCGACCTGTGGGCCCAGGAAGGAAACAACCGGAGGAAGTCATTTCCAGGCCACGCCCACGGCTGGTCAGGATCGCTCCCCAGCACCCAGCAGACTGGGAGCAGAGGGCCCGGGGCATGAGGCCGACAGGGGGCAGCACTGTCCGCCCACTACTGAAGCCGTGCCCAGTGTGCCCAGGGCTCAGGCAATGCTTGCACCACAGAGACACCCTTGGCTGCTCCTGCCGAGGGACCCTTTCCTCTCTCCTCTCCTTCCCTGGACATGACATTGAGAAAAGCCCTGTTCAGAAGAGAGTTTATTTCACAAGCCTGTGAAACTGGCTCTGGTATCATTCTCGTGGGAGGCCAAGCCCCCAGACCCATGTTTTTGTCAAAAAGCACATTTTTAATGCTCCTGTTCCAGGTACATGAGACCCACCTCAAGCTTATGGAAGCGCTACAGAGCACTAACTAGTGGCTTCAGACCCTGCCCAGTGGTTGGTTCAGAAAACCCCCTCTTGCCAAAGCTGGTTTGGCTCAGTGGTAGAGTGTCAGTCTGGGGACTTGAGGGTCCCGGGTTCGATTCCGGTCAAGGGCATGTACATTGGTTGCAGGCACATCCCCGGTGTGGGGTGTGCAGGAGGCAGCTGGTCGATGTTTCTCTCTCATTGATATTTCTAGCTCTGTCTCTCTCCTTGCCTCTCTGTAAAAAATCAATAAAATATATATTTAAAAAAAAAAAAAAAGAAAGAAAGAAAACCCCCTCTTCCTTCTGGGTGACATTCTCTGCTCCCTCCATCCCCCAAATCACCCCCCTGATACCCCACGTGCTTTGGAGGGGATTTGAGATCTGAGTCTTCTCTCCTCGGTGGTTCAAATTTTTAAAAAACCAAGCAGACAAATCCACCTTTCTATAAACGTTTATTTTGTAATTTTCCAAGACATGTTCAGAGAAAAGGTGAAATGATGCAAAGGTAAGGAACAACTGTATATAAAAATAATTTAAACACACATATTAATAATAAAGCAACATTTCTGTCTAGCAACAACTAGTAGGTAATCTTGCCCGAGATTTTTTCCAAAGGTATTAAATACGTTTTAGATAACAGTACATAAACACACACGCACAAGCACACCACACACACTCACATATACACGTATATACAGCTCAAGTATTGTTTTCTGTGCATTCCTGCTAACTGATAGCTACAGTGACAATGACTAAAGGCCTGAGTATCCTGAAGATTGAGCAAACGTGCACGGAATCGTGAATTTGGGAGACGTGCTAGGATTCCCCTCCCCGATCTCGTTAGTGACTAGCCAGTACCTGCGGTCGTGTCTAAACAATTAACGTGTGTTGTTGGAAAGGCTCAGGGGTGTGGTCACTGCGGGCGGCGGGCGGCCGCGGGTTGGGAAGCCCAGCACACCTCGCGGACCGGGAGGGGGTGCGAGGGTGCGGCCCCGGCTCTCCCTACATCTGGCTGACTCTCTGCTTCAGAGCCAGCACCTCCCTCCGGATCTCATGAGGGAGGTCGGCGTTCACCTGCTCCTCCAGGTAGGCCTGAATGTCCTCCGCCTCCTTCTCCCAGAATTCCCGGGAGATGTCGAAGAGCTCCTTGATGTTGATGTCGCCCAGGCCGCTCAGGTTCAGGGCCTCCTCGGTGGGGACGTAGCCGATGGCCGTGAGCTTGGCGCCGCCATCCCCGTTGATCCGGTGGAACATCCACTCCAGCACCCGGGAGTTCTCCCCGAACCCGGGCCAGAGAAACCTGCCGTCCTTGTCCTTCCGGAACCAGTTGACATGGAAGATCTTGGGCAGCTTGGCCGCGGGGCGCTGGGCCATGCTGAGCCAGTGGGCCAGGTACTCGCCAAAGTTGTAGCCAAAGAAGGGCCGCATGGCAAAGGGGTCGTGCATGATGACTTTGCCTGTTGACACAGAAGGGCCCTGTCAGTCACTGAGGCCCCATAGGACAGTACTGACAGCTGACATCAGCACGCTCGGCTCCTCTCTCCACACGGAGAGAGACAGAGAGACATAGACACAGAGGCAGACAGAGACAGGAGAGACAGACAGAAACAGGAGAGACACAGAGACATACAGAAACACAGACAGGAGAGACAAGAAGAGAGACACAGAGGCAGACAGAGACAAGAGAGACAGAGATAGAGAAACAGAGAGACGGACAAAGACAGGAGAGACAGACAGAAACAGGAGAGACACAGGGACATAAAAACAAAGACAGAGAGAGAGAGAGAAAGAGAGTGAGAAAGGGGGGGAGACAGAGACATAGAGGAGCACAGATACATAAAGGAACATAGAGACACAGAGACACAGAGGAACACAGAGACAAAGGAACACAGAGACACAGAGGAGCACAGAGACACAGAGGAGCACAGAGACACAGAGGAGCACAGAGACAGGAGAGAGAGACAGGAAGAGAGTCGCAGAGCGGGGAAGAGAGCACCCTCCCTATCCCGGTGGCTGCAGATTTGGACTTGGGTTTACCTTTGTGCTCGGCGGCTGCTGTAGCCTCAGACCTCATGGCCGCCCCCACAAACACTCCATGCTGCCAGCTGAGAGCTTCATAGACCAGAGGGACACCTGTAGCGGAAAAAAAAAGATGTGCCCTCAACGCTGACACCCAGACCCTTCGGCCGGCACTGTCGTCTCACAAATGGAAAGGAGGCAGAGCAGCACCTTCCTTATCTGCTAACCGTGCCCCAGAGCCCGGGGGCAGCATGGGCGCAGTGCCACCACGGAGGCCCGCAGCCGAAGGAAGAGGATAAAGCTCCCTGAGGTCCTGGGCCCAGAAAGGCTCGTGGCCAGAGGCTTGCCAGTCACCCCAGACGAGGGGAAAGGAAGCTGGCCTCGGGGGCACCCTCTGACACGGTCATACATAGGACAGGAGCGATTGCACAGACCCGCCCAGCCAGGGTGCAGGGAGCCTCACCAGCAGGCCGGCGCCCTCCGAAGATGATGCCCTCGATGGGCACGCCCTCTGGAGCCTCCCAGGCAGGGTCGATGATGGGGCACTGGCTGGCGGGGGTGCAGAACCGCGAGTTCGGGTGGGCACACGGCTCCTCTACAGCAGGTAGAAAGGAGAGGCCCCTGAGTGTCCAGCCCAAACACGGAGCACCCGGGGCTGGGGGCCGCGGGGCCTCCGGGGGGCTCACCGTCCCCGGGAGTCCAGTCCTTGTTCTTCCACGAGGTGACCTTGACCCCAGGGGCCAGCGGCTGGTCGATGCCCTCCCAGTAGACGCCGCCGTCGCTGGTCTCGGCCACGTTGGTGAAGATGGTGTTCCTCTGGATGGTCTTGATGGCGTTGGGGTTGGTCTTCACAGAGGTTCCGGGAGCAACACCAAAAAATCCGTTCTCTGGGTTGATGGCCCTTAAGTTCCCTGGAGAGTGTGAACCCGAGATGTCAGAGTGAGCCCCACGCAAAGCGTCCCTGTGCTCTGAGACCTGGCCAAATTCCCGACTCTTTTTCCCCTCCGCCTTCGAACGTATTTCTCTTTTCTCACCCAAAGCTGCTCCTCAGTTTTCCATCAGTACTACTTTAACATATGAACCCTATAAACCAACAGCCTCATGGGGTCCCATTTCAACCCAGGTTTGATAGTAAGTGAGAGACTTGCTTGCAGAGGATACATATTTCTTAGCCTTTGCCAGGTCTGAAATCACCAAATTAAAAACCTGGGCAGCATGAACTCAGGGGCCCTTGGCATGGTTTAAAGGTAAAAGTCCCCTGTGAGCAGCAGGCAGGCCCGAGCGAGAGTCACCTTGCTGGTCGAACTTCATCCAGGCGATGTCGTCACCCACACACTCGACCTTCCAGCCGGGCAGGCTGGGGTTCATCATGGCCAGGTTGGTCTTCCCGCAGGCGCTGGGGAACGCGGCCGCGAAGTACTTCTTCTGGCCCTGGGGGCTGGTGATGCCCAGGATCTGCAGAGACAACGTCCTCCTGACTCCCTTTCTTCCTTCCTTCCTTCCTTCCTTCCTTTTCCTTTGCTCCCTGGCCCGTACTTCAGCCTCGGAGTGTGCCTAGAAGCCCCCAAAGGGTGGGTCCCTGATTTCTATTTCTTCAGATTTTCAAAACAAACATTTTGCATAATGATGTCTACGGGCCTGGGTGTGTTTGATGTCCTTCAAAGGGAGCAGCCGCAAGTCATTCGTAACTACCGATGGCATTTCCGAGTCTGCCTGGCCTGGGTGTCTGGGCCTGGCCCGGCGGGCCCTGGAAGGCCATCTGTATTGGCCAGCACCCGCCCTGAACCTGCCCCGACCTTGCTCGCTCAGAACCCCCCGCGCCTTACCAGCATGTGCTCGGCCAGCCAGCCCTCCTCCTTGGCCAGCCGGCTGGCCATCCTGAGTGCGAAGCACTTCTTCCCCAGCAGGGAGTTGCCGCCGTAGCCGCTCCCGAAGGAGATGATCTCCCTGCGGTCGGGGAGGTGGGCGATGAGCGTCTGCTCGGGGTTGCAGGCCCAGTTGTTGACCAGCGGCTCTGCGGAGGACATGGCTGTCAGCGGGGCCCACCTGCCGGGCCCCGGAGGATGCACCCGGGTCTGAAGGCTGAGCTTCCTTTCAGACATTCTAGCTTTTGGTTTTGAAACAACATGCTTACTTTTCAGAGGCAGGGGGCACCCCACGGAATGGAGGCACTTGACGAACTCCCCGTCCCCCAGAGCTTCCAGGACGCGCGTCCCCATTCTCGTCATGATGCGCATGCTGGCCACCACGTAGGGCGAGTCCGTCAGCTCGATGCCGACCTTGGCCAGAGGCGAGCCCAGGGGCCCCATGCTGAAGGGGATGACATACATGGTGCGACCTGCGGGGGGGGGGGGGGGGGGGGTGAGCCATGAGAACGGGCCTTGGACTTACTCCCAACCATCGCTGCTTTCCTCCAATCACGCCACTCCCTGCCCGCCCCCGGACCCCCAGGTCACGGGAGCCCACTGTACAGCGGAGAGAACCCCAAAACAAAGGCATTTTCATAAATGTGCAATTTGGGTTCCCCCTTGCTTGGAAAACGTTTTCCTTTCCGTTTGTAAATCTAAAACTAAGATGTACACTTCAATACGCTGCCCATTTCACGTATGGCGTTTAGGGACCTCTGAGGCCCCGGAGTTCCCATCGCGGTAAGGTGACGGTTCAGACAGACATAATACAAGGCTTCGGACACTCTGCCCGTCAACTAAACGCGCCATGTACCTTTCATGCACCCCGGAAACCGGGCATTGAACGCTTTCTCAAAGTCCTCCTCCGACATCCAGCGGCCCAGCTGGCTGAGGCCGCTCTTGGGGATGGGCACTGTGTCTCTCTGCTCTCGGGTGATGATGACCGTCTTGCTTTCGATTCTGGCTACATCCCTGGGGTCAGTGAGAGCCAACCAGCTGCAAAAATCAAAACACACAGGTGAGGGCTGAGGGGAAGTGCAGCTGTTCTGAATGCGTCTGTGTGCAGGGTCCTCTCAGCCAAGCGTCACGTGGGAATGGACCCGTTGGCCCATCCTCGTGTCCTCCCTGCACCTAGCAGGTGCCACGCGCTGGTGATGTTCTGCAGATGTGACCGCCACACCCGCTGTCAGAGTCAAGGAGCCATTTACTAGACTGTGAGCTTGTCTGGGAGGACAGGGACGGTCCGACTTCCACTTTTACCCGGTGTCTAATTTGCGAAGAGCATTTGTTTGCATAGGCTATCTCCTTGAAGACTTGGGCACTACCAGTGTCATTACGTTAAAGTCTCTATGGTTCTATTACATCTTTCGAAAGCCTGCAAACCCCCTACCCCTCTATCTTCATCCACCTCTCCCCACCACCACCACCTTGGGGCGGGGGGCTGGGGCTGGGGCTCACTCACCAGTTGTCGTACTTCTTCAGCCTCTTGATGGTGCCCTGCTCCTCCATTTCGTGCAGCAGCTGCATGTTCTCCTCCTCGGAGCCATCGCAGATGTGGATGCACTCGGGCTGGCACAGGCTGGCGTTGGTCTCCACGAACTCGCGCACCGCCTGGGGCAGGCTGTCCAGGCTGCCCTGGACGACCTTGGCCGAGAAGTTGAGGCCGTTGGGGAGCTGAGGAGGCATTGCTGCGGAGTCACGCTGAGGGCCTCGGACACTGGGGTTCCCTGAAACAGCAAGCATGGGCTTCCTGAACGTGAGCGAGAACCGATGCCCTCCAGCCCGGGTCCTGGCTGTGTCCGGCGCTCGCCGCAGACAGGCGTGGCTGTAGGATAAGGAAGCGAGTTCGCCTTGCCTCGGTGGTTTTTAGCGAGGTAAGTTCAAAAGCCCGGCCTACCTTCCTTCTCTCTGGCGATCTCGACCAGAGATCCAAGGCTTGCTTTTGGGCTCTTCCCGCTGGTGAGCCTGCTTTCAGGGGGGAAGGCGGTGTTTGGTGTCCGGTGGCAGCAGCACCGGCTTTAAATGCCACCGAGAGGCAAGGGCCTGCCCTTCGGCCCCACCCGGAGGCTCGCCTCTGACGTCAGGGGCAGGCCTTTGGCTCGGGGCCACAGTCAGCTTCGCCTTGGACCGGCTCCCCACGACCCGCCCCGGGGAGATAATCATTGAACAGCCGGCCGCGGGGTGCCAGGAGGCCTCCGACCCCTTGCCAGCCCTTACACAACGTCTGATTGACTAAACTTTGGCCCAGTTCGCTGCTGATGCAAAACACATGGCCCTCCCGTTGACAGGCGTGCGGGGCGGGCGCAGGCTGGCGGGAGCACCGCCTGGACATCGAGTGTGTCCAGGGCCCAAGCTGGCAGCACACTGTGTGTACCGGGGCTGCCGGTTGGCAGAACATCACGGTGGTAGGTGTCAGCCACCGTCAAAGCCCCGGGAAGGCCATGCCCGATGCCAGCAAATAGGTGACTGGTTGGCAAAGGTCTGATCTAATTGGGGGCTAATGGCCCGGCGGAGTGTTCACTGTACCCCAGATATAAGGGTAGGGATTGCTGCCCATTTTGCTCGCTTTTGTGGGTACAGTTCCTGACACACGTGAGCACTGTCCCCAGGGCCTCACGTCACCACCAGCCTCTGAGGCAGAGCCCATGAGGAAACTGAGGCACAGGGAGGCAGAGCACCACTCCCAGCTCTCCGGCTGGTGGGCAGCAGAGGGAGAGCTAGAGGATGGGGGGATGGGCTCTGGAGTGCTACCCCAGATCATCCCTGTGGGGTGCCCTTGCCTCTTCTAGAACCTTCCATGTATCCTCCAAACAGCTCTGGGCTGGATGCAGTTACTCCTGGAATCAGCTCTCCCTTTTCCTTGCCCTGGCAAGTCCGGGCATCTAGGGAGGGGAGAGAGGGAGGGTGGGCTTGGCGGTTTTGCTAGATTACCCTTGAGCAATGAGACCTTTATAACAGCTCTTCAGAAAAATGTGCTTTGCAAGCCGTCGGAGCTTCGGTCCAATGTAATGGACCATGGCGCGGTCGCTGGTGTTTCAAGAGCACTGGGTGAGAAGTCAGGAGAGGGGGCCAGGCCCCGTCTCCCCACAGCCAACCCCAAGGCCCAGGGGAGCCCCCTCCCTCCAGTGAGGCCGGGCAGGGACGCCTGCCTCCCCCGGGGACATGTGCTGAGACAGTCCCGTGACGTGACTGTGGGAGCTGTGGCAGGTAGAAGGCCCGGAGTGTTGAGTGGCCTGTCCACGGGGTTCCTCCTCACTGCAGCTGGGTGCACACGCTTCTTCCCGCCACCAAACCGTCCACCGCTGCTGTTCCACTCACTCAGGTTTTCACTCAACCAATGGAATCTTTCAGTATAAATGCAATGTGAGCTGTTCATTTTAGTTTTATATTATTTCCCATTTCGGTCGCTAGAATTCATTATCCGTGGCATTGCCAGCCACGTACAAGTCTGTGTCCTGTCTAAATGGGACCATGGTGTGATAGTGCTCCCGGCCGAGGGACTGTCCACACGTGACATCCGTGGAATCTCCCGCCCAATGCAGGACCACACACACACACACAACACATGCGTCCGCAGCTTATCCCACCAAATGGGAGAGGATGCCTGTGTGGCTGATAAAGCTGCAATAGGTTTCATTCCCTCCAGGAGTACATAGACTGAAAACAAACCTGTGAAATTATTTGCCATTCTAAGCCCCACTCATAAATTCCAGGTGTTTATGGCCGAGTCCTCCTCCAGGGAAACCAGCAAGTTCAATTGCAACGTAGGAACGGTGAGTCACCCTGCCCTGCCTCTAATCTTTCCATTGCCGCGCCCAGTGGAGCAAAGGCGGCCTGGGACCACAGGCGGGGCTGTGGGGCCTGAAAGGTGTGAGCAGGTGAGCCGGGTGGGGAACAATGAGAGCAGGGGTCTCACCCAGGACTCTCAGCAAGTGTGATTGTGACGTCCATGGGCGTTGCTTAGCGACCTGGTGGCCAGTAAAAAAGCAGAGATTCACAGATGGTCCAAAGACCATGGACACCAGTGCTTGGAGCCCCTGTAGAGCCAAGATGGGTGGTTTCCATCCTGTGCTTGAGGGAATGGGGGAGTCCGTAGGGGGTGTTCACCGAGGCCCCTTATAGAGGAGGGAGAAGGCCCAGCGAGATGAGCTCACGGACTTGCCCACCTGTGGTATGCACTAGGCTTCCACGTTGGATCTTTGCTTGAAATAGGAATCTCGCCGCCGGAAAACACTGGACATCCACATTCTCTCACAGGGGAGGGGGCAGCTGGGACCCGGGAGTGAGTGCAACTGGACCATCTCCCATGCCAAGGCTCTGGCCTTCTCACTTCACTCCCCTCACCGATGGGGGTGACGGGATGGGCTCATCCCACCAGGGACGGGGGGCGACCACAAAAACTCCCTCTGCTCAGGAACCTGAATTCCCCAGAAAGCAAGGCCCTTTTCGGGTAAAGACAGAGGGGACCATGGTTTCCCTGAGGGGACAAGGAACGAGCAATGTCAACCCCACGTCTTGTTCCGGAGCCAGAAACTGCCCGTCTCCAAGGCCGGCCCCGCCGTGGAGATGTCCAGCATGCGGAGCTGTCTGCAAGCAGCCTAGGAGTCACTGCCCCCAGCAACCCCATCGTCCCCCCAACTGTGTTTGTTAGAAACAAATATTTAGATGTTCCACATTTATGGGGTAATCTTCGCGTCTCTGCGGTCTGGAGGGTGTTTTTAAGAGCTGAATGAGCCAATTTCCTCGTTGGGAGCCACGGAATTATATAATTGAAAGGGCCCTGAGAAGATCATGTTAATCCATTTTAACAGGTAGGGGGTCTCCTTGGGGGAGATAAAATGTTCTGAAACTAGATGGAGGTGGCGGCGGCGGCATAATTGTGAATGTACTAACTGCTGCTGAATTGTGCACTGTAAAATGGTTCCCTTTATGTTATGTGCATTTCACCACAATTAAAAAAGAAAAAAGGTTATGTCGTCCAGAGTCCGTTCCTTTGACGACGAGGGAACAATGGCCCAGGGTGGGGAGCTCTCCAGGAGGCAGGCTGGTCCCCAGCACCCCCCAAGCACTCCCTAGCACCCCTCCATCCCCCCCTCAACCTCATCCTTCCTACTGCTCCCAACTGCCTCCTGAAGTCTTAAGACACTCATCCTCAGAAGGCATTAGGGAGGCTCCCCAGGGAGGGTCATGATTGTGTTTACATATTCTTTCCACAATGAGGAAATAAAATGAGCCCAGAGGCACTCCACTTGGCATGGTGTGTGCTGATACAGCGCGATTCCTGCGGCAGCGATGAGCACAGAAATTACGTTAATGGATGCGGACCGCCAGGTGTGAGACCCTCTTCCCAGGCTGGTCTCCCCATTGCAATCATTAGCGACCCGTGGAAATGGGGAATCCATAAAATCATCTTTATTGTCTTCGGTATTTCTCCATCAGGCTTATGCAGAGGCATGTGGAGCTGTGGCCATGCAGAGAGGACTCAGGGTGGGAGCTGAACGAGGCCCTCACACCCATCCCGTGAGTGGCTGTGCCTTCAGAGGGTACCGCCGGTGGAGCTGACACAGCCAGAGGAGGGAGAGCCACCCACAGTCAGCACAGGCCGCCGGCCGGCCAGCCGGCCGCCCGGGTCCCTGCCGGGCCTTGCTCCTCTGTGGCCTTGAGGTGATGCCGCTCCTGTTGCCTGAGCCGTTCTGAGCGAGGCAGCCCGTTGTCTGCAGCCCAAAGCATCTGAGGTTACATTCCACACCCAGAACGCGGGCTCAGGGGCCCTGGTGGCGCCAGTCCAGCTCCCCAGCAGCTGTGCGTCCCCCTCGCCTGTGCGGAGCGGGTGGGTGAGACGCCCCGCCGCCCGCCGCTGAGGCCCTTGCCTCCCTGGAGTCCCGTCGGGTTTGGTTTTCGTCTGGTTTCCCTCTTGCCCGCTCTGGAAGACCCGCGGCAGCGTTTGCTGAGCCTCTCTTCTCGTTGGGGCTGCAAGGCCGTGGTTCTCACGTGACTGCATGCTGAAGGGGAGGTGACTTAGATGCACAACTGCCCTGGGGGGACAGGGATGGACAGCACGCCAGGATAAGACAATACAAAACTGAAAACGAAAACCGGTTTGGCTCAGTGGATAGAGCATCGGCCTGTGGACTGAAAGGTCCCAGGTTCGAGTCCAGACAAGGGCATGTACCTTGGTTGCAGGCACATCCCCAGTAGGGGTTGTGCAGGAGGCATCTGGTCAATGTTTCTCTCTCAGCAATGTTTCCGACTCTATCCCTCTCCCTTCCTCTCTGTAAAAAAATCAATAAAATATATTTTTAAATAAATAAATAAATAAATAAATAAAAACTCTGATTTGCCCTAATTTTATAACCCTACCTCAGTTTCTCTCTTTTAGGTTGATTCAGACAGAGCGCACCCAGATTTTAGCCCAAATCACCAGTGTTCCACCGTCCCCATTATTCGCTGTGACGTTCAGTGCTGAGGGCACTGGCTGTGGGTCGGGCTCCGGAGTGCTGTGCCCTCTGCATTCTCACATGTCCTCCGGAATGGCCGATGGCAGATCGGGCAGAGGGCAGGGGGTCCTGCCGGGCCCTGCGTGCCTGGAGGGGTCCCTCTGGGCTTCGTTTCTCATCTCTAAACTGAGACAGCCCTTCCGACTCACAGGGCCCCTGCTTCCTGGTGCTTAGGCCTGAGCAAGTCCATTTCCGGAGCGAGTGTGCAGCAAACAGAGTGAGGAGAAATGTGCCCCTGGATTCCGTTCCAAACGCACCCACGGAGCAAAGCCCGCATGCACCGGCCCCGCAAAGCAGGGGGGAAATGGATTCACTTTGTGGCGGAGTTAATCCTCTTGGAAGCCACAGTCATGGCCCAATGCCACCCTCCCTCCGCTCCCTGGTAACTGCAAATCCTCCCTCCCGCTGAGGTTAGGGCTCAGAGCAAACATGTCTTTGGGACATTTCCCAAACTCTAACTCTAACTCACTCTCAGCTCCTCTCCCAACAGGGGAGACTCACACCCCCGAGACTTGAAGACAGACTCATCCCTGGGTGGGAGTGCAGCCAGCACAGCT